GGTAGTGCAAGGGTCGAGCTATTTTTATCTATATTTTGCAACATCACGAGAGTGGCTTTATTCTTTTGTAGTTTCGGTCGCGACTGCATGAAAAAGCATGACCCAGTTATTGACCTTATCATGTGGCACATGATATTCAAATTAAAGCATCATGCAAGAGAGACTACGGATAATTGGTCGCGATTTTACTTTATAATGACGTGGAATAATAAACACAGGGTGTTTTTATATCTCTATAATGTGTATAATATTTTTGCCATGAAATATAATACCTAAATAGTTTCCACGAAGGCTTCTGTTACTGTACTGATAATCACAAACAAATTCAATTCTACGTATACCTTGTAGGCAATCCAGACAAGTGCAACGTTTGGTCTTTTACGCAATTTTTTTTGGCGAAAACATGTCACGTTTACAATCTATAAATAGTGACATTTTCTGTTACTAAACAAATGTAAAGACGAATGGGTCACTAATGCCGTAAGCTGTGGGTTTTGTGTTTTGTTTAGCCTTAGTATGTACGCAACATCGGCATTAACAAATGCAGATAATTTTTTGGGGATTTTTGTCCATATTATATAAGCAATGCCGTGGCGTGTACACGCGCAATTCATCGCTATTTCAATTTTAACAGTTCTATCTCATCATAATGCCTACTAAGGCTGGTTTCCATACTGGATCGCTACTATTCCTGTAATTGTTGTCCGCTTCGGAACAGAAAAACAGATTGAGCACAAATGAAACATCTTCCACGCTGACCAATTCATGAACATATGATCACCACGATCGCCAGAAAAGAAAAATACTCATGAACATCAGGAACGACTCGTTAAATTTTGGCCTATTTTGGTTTTCTATTTTTCAAAAGGTCTTACAAGAAACACGAACAGATTCGAAAGTTTGTAAATTAAAGTCGAGTAACTTCGAGAAATGTGAGCAAGGTTCCTCTTGTTTCAACGAACCAAAATGAATATCAGTGTTTTGAAAACAAGGATGCTAGTAGACTGCAATTATTTGCAATCTGGCCCCCGATGTTCACAAAACAAACAACGCTATCTACTGGTAGTGATTTATCCGATGGATAGCGTTATCCACCTTTCAGTCGAATATTGTCGAAATTTGCCTCTAAAATAAAGTGATGGTCGTATCTCTCAGTACCACAGCAGCTTATGGCTTATGTTTGGTATGTGTAATTTGTCCGCGGTTGAATATTTAGGATTTTGCCTGGTTTTCTCTGGCAATCACTTTTAATATATTCAAGAGCAAACTGGACTGGAACAAACTGCAATCAAACAGGAGAGTTTCTTTAACAAATATTTATACAGCAAACTTTGGTTCATTAATTTTTATTCAGTAAAGATTACCGAGTCGTTACTACCGCCATTAACATAATTTTACTCAAAAAGTTGTCGTGCTTTTTTCAGTGTTCCAGCATGTTTCAGGCTGCTCCGCATCATATTCGTTGCACTAGCGACGCCCAAAGCTGTTCTGCTTACATTACTAGATATAATAATCCGGTATTATAACATGTATCGCTTTTCTCCATTAAAAGTTACAGTGACGATGGAGACAAACTCTGCCGTTAAACTAAACAAGTTTTACTGTACGTGAGTCAATATTTTCCTAAACACTTCATCGACAATTCATATCCCACAAACATAAGAAAAATTCATGCACATGATTCGTGGCACACAGGATCACGGGTCATCTGTTCGCCAGAAATTTATTGATTATCTGTTACTTTTAAATGTTGTGCTTTTCTTCATTCATACACCATGTAGACCCGTTTCAGCTGCAGCCCGCCAGTTGTCTTGTGCATGTAAGTTCCATCCAAACTTCTCTCCAGTATTTGTGGCTCATCATGATCAGTGCACTGGACTGGAACTGTGAATTACAAACACGGCATTTGTTAACTGCTTTTAAAACATCCAAGCAACGAGCAGTCTGTCTTCCGGCAAACTAAATTCTGAAAAGACTAATGTAGCACATTTAAGGACCGGGCGAGTCGCGTTCCTTTAATCTCTCTATCATTCGCGATCGCTGGAGGGAGAGATAATCCATACAATCTATAGATTATTTCTAATTTTCATATTCACCGTGAAATTTATTACGAGATTCCCTGAAGTTTCGTGACGTAATCTATTTTTAGATATGATCCACAATACTCACAATATTCAATCTATCAATCAATCGACCTATCAATCAATGCAGTGACGCGAATCGACCGGAGATGAGGTCGTTGTAACTTACTTGACACCTGTCCGTCAAATAAGTCTCCTTTTCCCGCCATATTTTTCTGAGTGTCGTAGTCTGAAAATATTTCCCGCCGCTGGATCAGCAGGACTTTAAATCTCCCAGTGCAAATTTACACCGGTACAAATCATAACACGAAGGGATCTTCCACTACACTTATTGCGCAACAATTCCATTACAGTACAATGTTTGTGGATATTTTTTTTTAGCTATAAAATTGATATGAGTCCCTTTATAAATCTTTATACAGTGACGCGCATTTTGCGTCAGCAGTGTTGCTCGACAAGTCGAAAATACTCTTACTGTTGAAACATAGAAATAAGAACTTAAGTGCTTGTTGAGCATTTTCTCACTAGAACGTACGATCGAATGCTACAATCCATCTCGGATTAACCGCCAAAGCTACAATACCTTCCGTGTCAGTACGCTACTCTCGCCTGACTTACCTGAGACTTTCCTAGCGGTCCGCAACGGGCAAGACTGATTTCCATGTTTGTCAGAACGTGATCGAATGAATGATCGCAGACAGCTTCCAAGTCCACAGCAACAAGATGTCATCTTTCCTCTGTTGTAAGAATGGGTCAGGGAATTAATTACCAAGTGGGAGTACCTTCTCGTAGTCCGCCGCTTCAATCGCTTGTTTATGCATTGTTTTCCGACGTGACAATTTAAATGCCGTTGATCATGGTGTACACAGCGCAACGGCCTCACGCGCCGCAAAGAAACGACGTCACCATGGAAACGTCATTCGTAGTCCATTCCAGCACGGGTGAAGATGGTGAGGTCCTAATAGCTCATCTGTCTTGTTAACATGATCTAGTCTCCGTTTTTATTTGAATTTTAGTTTCCCAGTCGTATGTCTGCTTTAAACGTATTAATGACTCCATACACAGCCTTGTAAATATTCATATGCAATCTACATTTCTCGGCTTCTACCTCCACCCACCCACCCGTCCCCCCGCCATCCTTTCTCGTTAAAAATTCATACCTAAATACATACGTATGCGCAAGCTTTGACATCAGATTTTCTCGCCAGTTAAAAACATGCTTAGTAATCATTTTCAGGTTTTGCAATGAAAGCTAACTCTGAACGGAAATGGCAAATGCCGTTCTATGTCATCTCGGTGTTTTGCAATATTCAGAGTGGCTTTCTCCTTTTGTTAAAATTCAAGATCGGCCAGTCTAGTTTATGCGGTGATGGGCTCCTGATACAACATATTCAAATATTTATTTTTGTATTTCATGCAAGACCGAAGACACTACGAGTAACTGGCCATAGTTTTATTTTTAATACTCTGATACACGATGCTCGTCGATCAATCCGATGTGCAATGATCTTTGAATCTCTCTGGATTTTGATAATTTTTCTGCCATGATTAGTACTAGTAAATAGATTCTACCATAGCATATAATCGCCGCGATCGCTACAGAAAAAGTTGAGCGAACCTTACAGCTTCCGGTTTGAGACAGGAAGTCGTTGTCCTTGTTGCAACCGTCGCTACTAACGCTGGAGAGTTGTTTTCATATGATCGCAATGACCGCTGAACTTTTCTGGTAGCTATCGTAGCGATAATTGTATATGGGAATAGGGAAATAATAAAGATAAGGGAACCAGCCTTCACTGAACTGAAACGGACAAAACTGCAGCTTCGCAAACCAGACGTGTACAACCTTTCGGATCGGCGCGTTCATCGGCGCACAAACATCGTAGCGTACGTCACGCATTGAAACTAAAAGTGAGATTTCTGTTATTTGCTGTCGCAACGAAACATATATTTCTGAAATGAATTAGTCAGACGAGTCAGTTATGTTGGGTTTTATATTTTGTCAAGCCTTAGGATACACACTGCTGTGCGGCTAGCGCTCTCTCGGATTATCCGGTAGTCCCCAGACACCGGCCAAATCTCCAGGATACAAGGAAACATTTTCCCCCTTGTTTCGTCTTTGGGCTAATTTGTGGCGTTTTCGGAGTGAAAGGTTTGCATATAATATGATGTATTTTCATGGTTGAATTTGCGGAGCTCTTTTTAAACAACTTCATTTCGCGTTAAGAAGGTAAAATTGAACTGTCCCGGATCGATTTCGAATTTTTTAGAATAATGCCACTGGCTGGTTCCGAAATCCAGTGGTCACTACGATCACTGCAATCAATTTCCCGCCGCTCGATCGGGAAGACTTTTTACTTCTGCTAGTTTATACCTGTACCCCACCGTGGGTGGGGGGGGGGTCGTGGGGGACCTACTCTCTTACACGGGCTTCAAGGTATGAGCGGCGCCAAAGGATATTATATGGCTTTTTAGCCGTTTTGGTCAGAAATATACCCTGATCCCGAAGGTTTTTCTTGATTTTTCTCCATGTTCTCCGCTTCGCGGCTCTCTCACGGCACTCTCCATGCGAAGAAAAATCAAGAAAAACCTCTGGGACCAGGATATCAGAAATAGGGTATCGATTTTGGCCAATAAGATATGGCGTTTGCACTTTAGTCTTAAATTGGGTAAGTGTCACAGTCCTCTCTTTGATCCAAAAGAGATTTACATTAGGCGCCTCTTCTCTTGTGTTAACTTTTAATCAAACTTTCACAGTTTTTATAACAATATTTACAAGAAAAGTAAAAAAATATCGATCTCTCAAGATGCAATAACTATTGCCTGCTGGTTCATCAAGCTACATGTATGCCAGTTATTACAGGCAACCAGTACTCTGCTAGTCTCCTTTAACGTCTTTTTTTTGGCGGGGGGGGGGGGGGGGGAGATGTCACGCAATGCTGTCATGCAATGCTCCCCCCCCCCAAAAAAAGGCTGTCATGCAATGCTCCCCCAGAGCGTTGGGTAACATTCAAAAAACGGCTGCGGAGGACACTACTACTCTGCTTGATTTTCATTTTTTTCCAATTATTCTGTAAATAATTTATTAAATAGTAATATCTGAGTACTACAAATAAAGATTCCTGTTGATCTTTCAACAATTTGACTGGATTTGGGGACAGGCATCAAACTGTCCTGATTTTTATCTATAGTAATTATCTTCAGTTATTTTGATAATAAAATATTCCTTGTAAATAAATTAATTGATAGGCCATCAAAATTTATCTAGTAAAGTACTCCTCTTTTAATCTTAGTCATTACCATCTAAATAAAGAGATTTGGAGAAAAAAGCCAGCTAATTCAAATGGTACAATAACTGTACAGTACATTCAAAGACCTTTAAATCTGCAACTTCAGTTAATGTTCAAAAACAATCCCTGCAGCCAGAACTGCATTTGACTGAATTAATATAAAGCCTAACATTGCATTCCCAACTCCTCTCAAACTTGGTCAAACTTTCATTGTTTTCCTGTAGTAAAAGTGCCTGTAACTCACAAAACTGGAAATTTCTGTGTTTGACAGTAACAGAAACATATAAATAACACCTATCCAGGGTGTATACAGCATACAATATGTACTCTACACAACGTCAATAAAAAAAGAAGGCATGTTAGTACCACAACTACCATGTTATTAGAATTTGTTATAGAACTGACTGCTGTTGCGTGTGATACTGAACTCTAGCTCCTTCACTGTTTTCTGTATCCTTGGTATCATTGCTTTGGGTCCTAAATAGCTGGAGCTCATCGATGAGGACCTTACAGCACTTCTCCACTGTGCCCTGCACAACAGGGATCTCTGTTGGTTCAAACTCGCTTAGAACATAATCTGTCACATGATCTCTTTTAGCTGGCCTTCCTATCCCTACTCGCACCCTCTTCAAGGTCTGAAATAAATAAATTTAATTATTTAGGACAGATAGGTATGTAAGTAAATAGCATAACATGCTTAACAGTTCTGTTGTGTTCCAAATATGGTAAGCCACTTCATTGATTTGTTAAAAGAGCAATCATAGTGACAATTTATGGGATCATATCACTGCTCTCTCCCTTACAGTGATGGTGACCCAAGCCCTGGTACAGGGTCAAGGCAAATAAAAAAAACTCTTCTTTTGATGTAAAATTTTCCCCGTTTATCCCCTCTCCCAACAAAAGAAAAGAGAAAATTTAATAATGCTGTAATACAGTATATGAACATGAATGGGCAGAATTTTCATATTATGGTTTGCTCCACATTTCAAATAACATGTTAAAGATCTAAAATTTATAATATGATTAATCTTACATCTGAGGTCAGAGATGCAATGGCCGATCGCACTCCATTGTGTCCCCTAGAAAGGAAATAAATCATTAAGTTTTGTACAAAATTATTATATTTTGGGGGCCTCTTAGCCAGAAAAAATGAACTCAACGTATGTAGTTTTACTTTTCAGAGAAACACAAAATTTCAAAGTAACAAACTACATGTACATGGAAAGATAAAACTGTTAGTTGAAGGGTTCAAGAAGAAGAAGAAGAAGAAGAAGAAGAAGAAGAAGAAGAAGAACAATAATAATAGTTCATTTATAAAGCACACACATCCATACAAAAATAGAAAATATAAAACAAACAAAATAGTGTAATATTGATAACAGACATTGTATTAAACTGGTATTATGAGCATTGCAATCTCTTGCTCACAATATAAACAATCATTATACATGTATGACTCACCCAGCACTTCCTCCGTGTTTCAAACTATATTTTCCCACAGGTCTATCAAGGTCATCATGTACAAGAATAACATTGGATGGGTTGACGTTGTACATTGCAGCTAAAGAAACAAATATGTAGTGTAAAAACATTGACACTAGCAATCAGTTTAACATTAATTTGTGCATGCTTGGGATAGAAAGTAGCCTAATAAGAGAATGGGGCCACAGTAGACTGTAAGTTACTGCAATCTAAAGCCAAATGTTTTTAGAAATCACACCCCTAAGAACAGCATCAATAATTTTCCGCCTAAATATCAGCCACTGACATTTTTACAATAACTGTAGAAATTCTCGCCTGTTCATTGGCTAATTTTCATCGTCGATACACAGACAGACACATGAATTTATAATTTAAGTGATGCATCAACATGCGAGAGCAGACAATTTGTTCTCGTAAAAAGCAAATTGACATCAGTTTTTCATGCGTCTGTCCTGTTATTGACAATGATATTGTCAAAATAGTCTGCAGATCCACTCAGCCATCACCTTGTGAATCCACAGCTACTTTGACAATGTTATGATGAAATTCATGATCAATAATAACACAGATGCATGAAAAACTGACATCAATTTGTTAAATGTCACTAGTTCCCCACTTAAGGTTACTTCCCACCTTCGTGGGTGCCCTTCACAAGAAAATTCGTATGTGCGCCAGTTTCAATAAAACCCCTACAAACTATAGTTTACAATAAAAATAAAATTTAAGCAAGTTTTTCTTTTAGGAAGTGTCTGGAACCGGTAAGGAGTGAAACGACTGAAGTTTCTTCTATTGAATTTATCAGCTATCAGATGCCACCACACAAGCAAAATGGCTGCACAGTCTCATTCACAAGGCATCAATCAACAAAAGTGTGTTGGGCTCTTTCGATATTCTGATTGGTTGTCTAGATATCTGCATCTAAAGTTGAAGTAGCTAAAAATATGCAAGACGTGTTGCCACAAATGGAATGGATGCCACAAATTTCCAGACACACTTTCATTTGTAACTATCCCTGGAATGTTCTGGCGAAATTTCACGAAAATCCATCAAATCTGCATACTCTATAAATTTGCTCGAAGTGGATGTATTCCTTCCAAAATCAAATGCACGATTTTAGCCCATAAAGGTTCGTAAACAACTCGCGCCACACTAGGAGATTACCTCGCCTTGTGAAACCGCAATTCAATAGAACAACAGGACCTCCTAGCGTCAATGACAATGGGAAAAGTATTGCATTGCATTTTCTATTTCACTGTTGAATTGAAGAGAAAGACATTTAAACAGGCAAAGTAGCGAAAGACAAAAGAACAAATGCCCGATATGAACAATACCAAATAACATGAAATACAAGCTCCAAGATGAGCGCTTGTTGCAGAAATTTCCCCTGGCAGTTTTGTCCATTCAAGCGATTATGACACCTTCCTGGTTTATTAACTTTATTTGAAAATACGTTTTTTCTATATAACTCGGCCACTTTTTGAGATTTTAAATATTTTTCTTTTGTAAACTTCAGATAATTTAAACGACTGACTTAAATTTTGTCAAATAGAAGAAAAAACGATTTTTTTGTGCCCTTGAAGGTAAGAAGTAACCTTAACATCCACTGAGTGCTTTGGTCAGCCACCAACCCCCTCGCCCCTCCTTAACATCCACTTAGAAGTTTACTGCCCCAATAGTCACTCTAAACATAAAGGAAAGTGTCTCCTACCTGTTCTGTTCAAGNCCCCCCCCCCCCCTCGCCCCCCTCCTTATCATCCACTCAGAATTTTACTGCTCCAATGGTCACACCAAACATAAAGGAAACTGTCTCCTATCTGTTCTGTTCAAACATCTGTTTCTCAATGAAAGTTCTTTCTCACTAATGATTAATAATTTATTACCTAGTTTCTTTCCTTTTTAAGACATCACAAGTTTGCAAATACATAGAATGTATCCTTTTACAGAAAATAAAATGTGGTGTCATAAAAATGACATGCAAAATGTGATTTAAAAATCATCTGACAGTATCAATACCTGTTCTTGCAATACTCCTTCCATTTATATTCATTGCCACAGTAGGTTTCAACAGTATAATCTCCTGATCATCCACAGTTGTCACAGCCAAGTGACCAATAGATCTACGGTCAAAATGCCAAATGGCTCCCAAATGTCTGGCCAGACAGTCCACCACAAGCATCCCAACACTGTGTCGAGTGTCCGGGAGACTGTGATTACCCAGACCCACAACCTACAGAAACCAAAACCAAATCCTGTTATATCATAAACAATCAGATGTGACTTAATATAAGTCTCTGGGACCAATACAAGATTTTTCAAAAAGGATTTGAGATATGGATGGTCCCCTTTATGGGGTTGCAGAAGCATCTTCCCCTGGAAAATGTTTAAAATTGAGGTCCTCAGAAATGGGTTTTCTGGCATTCTGAGGTCAAGTCAGAAGTTATAATATTTCATTTTTCTTAATTTAGGGGGTTTCACAGAACCTTCTGAACCCCCCTGGATCTGCCTCAGAGTTTATATTAAAACACCACATAGGAAAAACAGACCATTAATGGTTGTTGTTAAAACTACTGGTGCCCAGCTTCCCCTAAGCAAAAAAAATGATATGAATAAATTGAAAGATGGCATAATTCTGTGTTACAAGGATAAAATGATCCAACATGGAGCGATTTTACAATATCGGGCCACTTATTAGCATATCACTCTACGTTTCTAAGAACGAAGCATATAGAAACAAAAGGAACCATTCAAATTCAATGAGATGTAAATGAGTGGCCCGGTATTCTACAATCTAGCCGTAACAACTTACTTGAACAGATAACTTGCCACAGTCCAAATGATCATTTTTTTATACTCCTTTCCTTCGTCGAGTACCTTACAATTTTACAGGCTACAAGGTACTGGGCTAACAAGGGGTTGTTTTTCTGTCTCGAGGCCTATATGATGATTAAACTTCATGTGCGACCATTCAACCGAAAGCTTTCAAGCGGCAGTTTTATTTGCAACTGTTTGTTTTGTAAAAACTATGAAACTTTTTTTTGTTGAGAACTGGCCTGTACANGCAAGTAAACAAAAGAATACTTAAATTGCGGGCATTTTGGTATAACGCGTATGGTTGTTGTTAAAACTACTGGTGCCCAGCTTCCCTTCAGCTAAAAAAACAAAATGATATGAATAAATTAAAAAGATTGCATAATTCTGTGTTACAAACGTAAAATGACCCAACATGGAGCGATTTTACAATATCGGGCCACTTATTAGCATATTACTCAACGCTTCTAAGAACGTAGCATATAGAAACAAAAGGAACTATTCAAATTAAATGAGAGGTAAATGAGTTGCTCGGTATTCTACATGCAATCTAGCCGTAACAACTTACTTGAACAGATAATTTGCCACAATCCAAGTGGTCAAAAATACTCCTTTCCTTCGTCGAGGACCTTAGAATTTTACAGGTTACAAGGTACTGGGCTAACAAAGGGTTGTTTTTCTATCTCGAGGCCTATATAATGATTAAACTTCATGTGCGATCATTCAACCGAAAGCTTTCAAGCGACAGTTTTATTTGCAACTGTTTGTTTTGTAAAAACTATGAAACTTTTTTTGTTGAGAACTGGCCTGTACATAACATGGACATTAACTTACCATAGCACGAAGTTTCCTAGCATCGCAACCTTGAGCTTGGCTTGCGTTCCGTTGGCAAATAAGCTTGAATGACTTTGATGTCCTTCGGGGCCCCAAACTAGCCAAGAAGAGTCGCAGTGCACGTCTACAAGGCTCCGCCATGTTGAGCAATACGACAATACAAACACGAGCCTGCATTTCTGACAGCGGTTAGCGATTATAGGATTAAAGATGGCGGCCCACGCGTGTCATAGATCACGTCATGTTTACAGACAAATTTCTTGGAATTATCTCATCGGCAATGTCTTTCGCTGTACCAACAGTTTTCCATCTGTAAGACCTCTTTGCTTAGGGCGTAACTTATGTGATGAAGTTAAGAACAATGTTCCCAAATCTCTGGGCTCTATCGAACAAAGTTCAAAGTTTCACCTCGTGTTTACATGCAAAGTATGTGCAACTCGATCTCAAAAACTCATCAGCAAACAGGCCTATGGTGATGGAGTCGTTATCGTCAAATGTCCTGGATGCAACAACAATCATCTAATAGCTGATAACCTGGGATGGTTTTACGACGACAAAAGGTAAAATGTGGGAAAACAGATGTATATGGGGAATTTTGTGTTTTCTAAGTAAGTCCGGCAGCCGGTAATTTGCCGAATGCCGAATGCCGAATGCCGAATGCACTGCTTGCTTGCGGTTGGTTTGACTTACATTTGCTTGCGGTTAGCTTTTCTTTGTTGTACAGGGCCATATACAATATAATGCTGTCCTTAACAAACAAAAGCTAACCGCAAGCAAACATGAGTGAAACTACTAAACCACATGCAAACAGTGCATTTTAATTGGCGTTCGGCGTTCGGCGTTCGGCGTTCTGCAAAATACATTGTACCCTTGCCAAAGAAAGCCAACCCCATAAAAATTGTTTTGTTTCCCATCGCCTGGCTGACCCATTTTTCTGGAAAGGTAAAAACAAAAAAAAGAGACACTGTCTGACAACAAGAACTGCACTTTCTCACTTAAATATTTGCATTCTCTGTTTCATAAGTAATCTGTAATCCAGACTTTATTTTGAATAGAAATATTTGGATCATGGGTACTAAAGGAATCTGCTGTGTCAGAATGCAAATAAATAAACTCCTTAGATAAAACGGCCATCTGATAACAAACTTTAATGTTACTATAAACTAAACTTGTTCAATTCGCTTTGAACGCATGCTACACGAATCTTTTAAGAGGTCTACTCTGGGACAATTATGTAACCTAGCTATCACATAAGCATCACACCTAAGAGTATAGAAACCAAGCTAATTGACACCACAACAGAATCTGCAGTCAGGTGTCGATCGATACCATTGATCAATCTTTGATCAACACTCTATTGGCCGACACTCAATCAACATCTCGATCAATACTCAGTCGACAGTCAGTCTCGATCAACTCGTGTTTATCGATAAACACTCGATGTTGGGTCTGCTAAAATTAGTCGACTCTTGACCGACTGTCTACTGAGATGTTGATGAAATGTTGATCCAGCATTTTGTAACCAGAACAAAAACTAACAGGCACACTGGCACAGTTTGCTATATGAAAAAAGAACCTATTTCAACTCCCTTTCCTCTTTATTCAGCAATCATCAGTTCCCTCAGTCAATCTTCTCCTTTTCTTTTTTTTATTTCTTTTTGCCTGACTGACCCACTTTCACAAGAGGGAAGGTGATGGGAAATGACACATTTTATGGGGATGGCCTCAAATCAAAAACGGAAAAAGCGCGAACATGATGCTCTTGAAAAAATGTTTCTTTATCCCTTCAAGTTGTTTTTGTTAGAAAACCTTGCACATTGTAGTTGCAAACCCAATAAATCTCAAGAGTAATGCAATGCTGCAGTGCTGAAGATTTTCTCCTTGCTTGTACTACAAGCTTTATGCCTTGCTGTGATGTGGTAGGCTTTGGTGATTTTGGCATCTCATTGATGTTTCTGTTCTTACCACAAGCAGGTTCAAGTATGTTAACAAGATCAAGTGTAGTACTCGGGGCTAGCTATAACTACAAGTCATTGTATAAAGCATGAGCGTTTATCATGTCAACACTGTATGTTAGTGTTCAGCATTTTATTGCATTGATAATCTAAAACATTGTTTGGTATTTTACAGAAATATTGAGGACATCTTGGCTGAAAAGGGGGAATCAGTCAAAAGGTTATCAGAAAGTGATTCACTGGAGTTTCTAGTGCAGGACTTAGTGGATAAAATTGAAAAGGACAAGCAAGTGGACGATGATCAGGAGAAATCTTAATGTACATGTCTCTAAAAGATTTCCAATTGTACACCTACTGTGTGTTCAGCCTTCACTGAACTAGCATCATAGCCAATACCAGTGGGAAGCAATATTTCTACTAGAGCCACATATCATAATGGTTTTCACAGACTCAGGTTAAAATGTTCTTACCATAGATGCGTGGCTAGCATTAGAACAGAAGTTGTAAAAGATTTCCTGTACTCCCCTGTTGTTATACACTTCCCCATTCTTGTTCCAGCCTGTTTCTTTCCTGTCCAGCAATACTCCTCACTTCAAACATAAGTGTGCCAATTTTCATTAGTTTCTTAGTTTCCTAAGGCAGTTTACTGAACTGCTCCAAGAAATCGAATTGTAAATTAAAAACCACTGAAAGTTGCCCCAGCCCTATAGTCCTTTTGCAACAGTTGGTCTCGTGACCGTGAATTTCTAAACTACTACTGCTAAATACATTTCAGAACTGGAAGGAGCATGTTTTAAATAGCTAGAAGACCAATTTTCAGACCAATGCCTGAAAAAGTTGAAAGTTAATGACGATTTGAATATTGCAAACATTAAAAAGTTTTGAGTGGAAGCAAGGAAGCTTTGCCCTCCAGAAACCGTTTTCCGTTATTTATCACTACAAAAGGAAGCTAATGGCATATAACTATTGGAGATAGAAAGACGGTTAAAGAACAGGAAAACGGTAAATTGTAGGTTTTTAAACCGAAAGGGAAAGGTTTTATGGCAGTTTGAAAACTTGCAAAATTACAAGGATTTCTATGGAAAACCACTGGAGAATGACTGGAGTGCAAAGCGTCTTCTTCCCATACAAATTCTTCTAATTTCTAATGTCCATAAAAATACCTTCTTAACTGAGGATATAAACCTGAAAATATGCATGAATCTGTTTTTGTTTTCTTTCTATTTTTAATAACATTATGCCGCTTTACCAAACCAATGACTAAATCAGCATGTTCTTAAAGAGTGTGTCGCGTGACCAATTTTGGTCGCCACGTAATTGATCTCGAAACAAAATAACACGGTCGCGAATATCACGCAACCTGGAAACATATCAAATACATATCGAATTCTTACTAAACAAGTCCTCTGGATTAATTAAGCCGAGAATTTAGACGTGATCACGAAAAGGTAGGAAGGAATTTTTTTGTTGCTTTGTCTGTAAACCTGTAATGAAAGTAGATTAGCTGATGGAGACATGAAATGGACGAAAACAACTTATAGCTACTTATGTAAATCCGGGGGGCAGTACCTATCATGACTCACTCATTCAAAACTGAGTTGAATTGCCTAAAAGGTAAAAATCTCGTTTTATCTTTGCGATCATTTGGCACTTGTGTCGTAGTTTTCGATATATTTTCTTCGAAGTAACATTGGCAGTTTGAAGGAAACATGAAAAAAGAGGTAATTTTACAACTCAGTAGCACATTGAAGATATAATTGGGTTTGTATTCGGTCCATCGCTCACAAATTATGAACCGAAAAAAGGGCGCTCGCGATGGGTACGATGAACGTTGACGTATAATTAAACTACTCAGATCTCACAAGGATGACGTCTCAAAAAAAGTAAGTTCATTTTAAGAGCGACTCGACCTGACTCTATCGATCTGAGTTTGACTTAGTCTTCAGCGTGACTCTGTTTATTCGAGCGATACAAACTGGACGTACTCGACAGTCGCAGTTTTTACTTGATATCACAGTTACTGTGTACACGTCGTGTTCATGTCTCTTTAGAGTGTTCCATGCCTGTTGTAAGTGAGAAACTGAAGAGTACAACCGGGAGTAAACTGGATTGATCAGTATATCAATTGCATATAGCTGGTTAAAACTGTAATGTCGAAATGTAGTTTGCTGATCCCTTATAAGTGTGACACTCGTGTGAACGTTGGATTGGTGAAATAAAATTGCTTTAATTTGTTAGATGCTGATGGACAGCAGTTTTCGTGGGAAATGTTTAAAAACAACGAAAAAGGAAGTGAACTCAGGTTTCGATCTAGTCAAATATGACTCGCTCCAGGATTGGCGTCATCACGCCCGACTGACTGTCCCTTTCTGGATAGTCTAATGTGCAAGCAAATCAGCTGATTCAACGGTCAGATGGGCATAACAAAGATGGGAGATTGCCCATTCCACTGACTGAAAAAGGAAAGCTATCAGTATAATATCAGATTTGTCAGACGGTACAGACCAGTGCAGCTTAACATAACCAAAACAATCCCATCACTCGCTTCTAGAGGGTCTAGAGGCACAACCCTCAAAGACGGAACAAAATTATCCACAGCGATGTCGAGGGCGTAAATGGTGTATATTTAACCAAGGAGGCAAAAGAAAACAAAAACAAACAGGCGATTGTTCAGGTGGGGCCAGCGCCGCAAATCACTCGCCTCTTTTTCCAGTCGTTGTTCCTCGCGCTAAACCCCTTTGCACTGCTACCCCTGTTATTGCAATAGGCTTGTACAAAGGGAATTTATAANCCCCCCTGGATCTGCCCCAGAGTTTATATAAAAACACCACATAGGAAAAACAGACCATTAATACACCTTATTCCAAAATGGCCGCCATTTTAGTATTCTTTTGTTTACTTGAAAATGAGCCCTTGTTGCCTCGTTTATGGGAAAATATTCTTTGGAATTTCGAGTTTAAGAGCGAGGCAAAAAGGGCTAATTTGCAAGTAAACAAAAGAATACTTAAATTGCGGGCATTTTGGTATAACGCGTATGGTTGTTGTTAAAACTACTGGTGCCCAGCTTCCCTTCAGCTAAAAAAACAAAATGATATGAATAAATTAAAAAGATTGCATAATTCTGTGTTACAAACGTAAAATGACCCAACATGGAGCGATTTTACAATATCGGGCCACTTATTAGCATATTACTCAACGCTTCTAAGAACGTAGCATATAGAAACAAAAGGAACTATTCAAATTAAATGAGAGGTAAATGAGTTGCTCGGTATTCTACATGCAATCTAGCCGTAACAACTTACTTGAACAGATAATTTGCCACAATCCAAGTGGTCAAAAATACTCCTTTCCTTCGTCGAGGACCTTAGAATTTTACAGGTTACAAGGTACTGGGCTAACAAAGGGTTGTTTTTCTATCTCGAGGCCTATATAATGATTAAACTTCATGTGCGATCATTCAACCGAAAGCTTTCAAGCGACAGTTTTATTTGCAACTGTTTGTTTTGTAAAAACTATGAAACTTTTTTTGTTGAGAACTGGCCTGTACATAACATGGACATTAACTTACCATAGCACGAAGTTTCCTAGCATCGCAACCTTGAGCTTGGCTTGCGTTCCGTTGGCAAATAAGCTTGAATGACTTTGATGTCCTTCGGGGCCCCAAACTAGCCAAGAAGAGTCGCAGTGCACGTCTACAAGGCTCCGCCATGTTGAGCAATACGACAATACAAACACGAGCCTGCATTTCTGACAGCGGTTAGCGATTATAGGATTAAAGATGGCGGCCCACGCGTGTCATAGATCACGTCATGTTTACAGACAAATTTCTTGGAATTATCTCATCGGCAATGTCTTTCGCTGTACCAACAGTTTTCCATCTGTAAGACCTCTTTGCTTAGGGCGTAACTTATGTGATGAAGTTAAGAACAATGTTCCCAAATCTCTGGGCTCTATCGAACAAAGTTCAAAGTTTCACCTCGTGTTTACATGCAAAGTATGTGCAACTCGATCTCAAAAACTCATCAGCAAACAGGCCTATGGTGATGGAGTCGTTATCGTCAAATGTCCTGGATGCAACAACAATCATCTAATAGCTGATAACCTGGGATGGTTTTACGACGACAAAAGGTAAAATGTGGGAAAACAGATGTATATGGGGAATTTTGTGTTTTCTAAGTAAGTCCGGCAGCCGGTAATTTGCCGAATGCCGAATGCCGAATGCCGAATGCACTGCTTGCTTGCGGTTGGTTTGACTTACATTTGCTTGCGGTTAGCTTTTCTTTGTTGTACAGGGCCATATACAATATAATGCTGTCCTTAACAAACAAAAGCTAACCGCAAGCAAACATGAGTGAAACTACTAAACCACATGCAAACAGTGCATTTTAATTGGCGTTCGGCGTTCGGCGTTCGGCGTTCTGCAAAATACATTGTACCCTTGCCAAAGAAAGCCAACCCCATAAAAATTGTTTTGTTTCCCATCGCCTGGCTGACCCATTTTTCTGGAAAGGTAAAAACAAAAAAAAGAGACACTGTCTGACAACAAGAACTGCACTTTCTCACTTAAATATTTGCATTCTCTGTTTCATAAGTAATCTGTAATCCAGACTTTATTTTGAATAGAAATATTTGGATCATGGGTACTAAAGGAATCTGCTGTGTCAGAATGCAAATAAATAAACTCCTTAGATAAAACGGCCATCTGATAACAAACTTTAATGTTACTATAAACTAAACTTGTTCAATTCGCTTTGAACGCATGCTACACGAATCTTTTAAGAGGTCTACTCTGGGACAATTATGTAACCTAGCTATCACATAAGCATCACACCTAAGAGTATAGAAACCAAGCTAATTGACACCACAACAGAATCTGCAGTCAGGTGTCGATCGATACCATTGATCAATCTTTGATCAACACTCTATTGGCCGACACTCAATCAACATCTCGATCAATACTCAGTCGACAGTCAGTCTCGATCAACTCGTGTTTATCGATAAACACTCGATGTTGGGTCTGCTAAAATTAGTCGACTCTTGACCGACTGTCTACTGAGATGTTGATGAAATGTTGATCCAGCATTTTGTAACCAGAACAAAAACTAACAGGCACACTGGCACAGTTTGCTATATGAAAAAAGAACCTATTTCAACTCCCTTTCCTCTTTATTCAGCAATCATCAGTTCCCTCAGTCAATCTTCTCCTTTTCTTTTTTTTATTTCTTTTTGCCTGACTGACCCACTTTCACAAGAGGGAAGGTGATGGGAAATGACACATTTTATGGGGATGGCCTCAAATCAAAAACGGAAAAAGCGCGAACATGATGCTCTTGAAAAAATGTTTCTTTATCCCTTCAAGTTGTTTTTGTTAGAAAACCTTGCACATCGTAGTTGCAAACCCAATAAATCTCAAGAGTAATGCAATGCTGCAGTGCTGAAGAATTTCGCCTTGCTTGTACTACAAGCTTTATGCCTTGCTGTGATGTGGTAGGCTTTGGTGATTTTGGCATCTCATTGATGTTTCTGTTCTTACCACAAGCAGGTTCAAGTATGTTAACAAGATCAAGTGTAGTACTCGGGGCTAGCTATAACTACAAGTCATTGTATAAAGCATGAGCGTTTATCATGTCAACACTGTATGTTAGTGTTCAGCATTTTATTGCATTGATAATCTAAAACATTGTTTGGTATTTTACAGAAATATTGAGGACATCTTGGCTGAAAAGGGGGAATCAGTCAAAAGGTTATCAGAAAGTGATTCACTGGAGTTTCTAGTGCAGGACTTAGTGGATAAAATTGAAAAGGACAAGCAAGTGGACGATGATCAGGAGAAATCTTAATGTACATGTCTCTAAAAGATTTCCAATTGTACACCTACTGTGTGTTCAGCCTTCACTGAACTAGCATCATAGCCAATACCAGTGGGAAGCAATATTTCTACTAGAGCCACATATCATAATGGTTTTCACAGACTCAGGTTAAAATGTTCTTACCATAGATGCGTGGCTAGCATTAGAACAGAAGTTGTAAAAGATTTCCTGTACTCCCCTGTTGTTATACACTTCCCCATTCTTGTTCCAGCCTGTTTCTTTCCTGTCCAGCAATACTCCTCACTTCAAACATAAGTGTGCCAATTTTCATTAGTTTCTTAGTTTCCTAAGGCAGTTTACTGAACTGCTCCAAGAAATCGAATTGTAAATTAAAAACCACTGAAAGTTGCCCCAGCCCTATAGTCCTTTTGCAACAGTTGGTCTCGTGACCGTGAATTTCTAAACTACTACTGCTAAATACATTTCAGAACTGGAAGGAGCATGTTTTAAATAGCTAGAAGACCAATTTTCAGACCAATGCCTGAAAAAGTTGAAAGTTAATGACGATTTGAATATTGCAAACATTAAAAAGTTTTGAGTGGAAGCAAGGAAGCTTTGCCCTCCAGAAACCGTTTTCCGTTATTTATCACTACAAAAGGAAGCTAATGGCATATAACTATTGGAGATAGAAAGACGGTTAAAGAACAGGAAAACGGTAAATTGTAGGTTTTTAAACCGAAAGGGAAAGGTTTTATGGCAGTTTGAAAACTTGCAAAATTACAAGGATTTCTATGGAAAACCACTGGAGAATGACTGGAGTGCAAAGCGTCTTCTTCCCATACAAATTCTTCTAATTTCTAATGTCCATAAAAATACCTTCTTAACTGAGGATATAAACCTGAAAATATGCATGAATCTGTTTTTGTTTTCTTTCTATTTTTAATAACATTATGCCGCTTTACCAAACCAATGACTAAATCAGCATGTTCTTAAAGAGTGTGTCGCGTGACCAATTTTGGTCGCCACGTAATTGATCTCGAAACAAAATAACACGGTCGCGAATATCACGCAACCTGGAAACATATCAAATACATATCGAATTCTTACTAAACAAGTCCTCTGGATTAATTAAGCCGAGAATTTAGACGTGATCACGAAAAGGTAGGAAGGAATTTTTTTGTTGCTTTGTCTGTAAACCTGTAATGAAAGTAGATTAGCTGATGGAGACATGAAATGGACGAAAACAACTTATAGCTACTTATGTAAATCCGGGGGGCAGTACCTATCATGACTCACTCATTCAAAACTGAGTTGAATTGCCTAAAAGGTAAAAATCTCGTTTTATCTTTGCGATCATTTGGCACTTGTGTCGTAGTTTTCGATATATTTTCTTCGAAGTAACATTGGCAGTTTGAAGGAAACATGAAAAAAGAGGTAATTTTACAACTCAGTAGCACATTGAAGATATAATTGGGTTTGTATTCGGTCCATCGCTCACAAATTATGAACCGAAAAAAGGGCGCTCGCGATGGGTACGATGAACGTTGACGTATAATTAAACTACTCAGATCTCACAAGGATGACGTCTCAAAAAAAGTAAGTTCATTTTAAGAGCGACTCGACCTGACTCTATCGATCTGAGTTTGACTTAGTCTTCAGCGTGACTCTGTTTATTCGAGCGATACAAACTGGACGTACTCGACAGTCGCAGTTTTTACTTGATATCACAGTTACTGTGTACACGTCGTGTTCATGTCTCTTTAGAGTGTTCCATGCCTGTTGTAAGTGAGAAACTGAAGAGTACAACCGGGAGTAAACTGGATTGATCAGTATATCAATTGCATATAGCTGGTTAAAACTGTAATGTCGAAATGTAGTTTGCTGATCCCTTATAAGTGTGACACTCGTGTGAACGTTGGATTGGTGAAATAAAATTGCTTTAATTTGTTAGATGCTGATGGACAGCAGTTTTCGTGGGAAATGTTTAAAAACAACGAAAAAGGAAGTGAACTCAGGTTTCGATCTAGTCAAATATGACTCGCTCCAGGATTGGCGTCATCACGCCCGACTGACTGTCCCTTTCTGGATAGTCTAATGTGCAAGCAAATCAGCTGATTCAACGGTCAGATGGGCATAACAAAGATGGGAGATTGCCCATTCCACTGACTGAAAAAGGAAAGCTATCAGTATAATATCAGATTTGTCAGACGGTACAGACCAGTGCAGCTTAACATAACCAAAACAATCCCATCACTCGCTTCTAGAGGGTCTAGAGGCACAACCCTCAAAGACGGAACAAAATTATCCACAGCGATGTCGAGGGCGTAAATGGTGTATATTTAACCAAGGAGACAAAAGAAAACAAAAACAAACAGGCGATTGTTCAGGTGGGGCCAGCGCCGCAAATCACTCGCCTCTTTTTCCAGTCGTTGTTCCTCGCGCTAAACCCCTTTGCACTGCTACCCCTGTTATTGCAATAGGCTTGTACAAAGGGAATTTATAAATACTTTGACTTTTTAAGAACATTAGCAAAGAGTAAGCTGACATATGGATGACGTGGTGATGGTTCATGGGCTTTCGGTGCCGTGCGGTCTGGGGATCACTGAAGAAAAGGTGGAAGCTTTAACAAGATTGCCTGCCAGGAAGGATGACATCTTCATTGTGTCATACCCCAGATCAGGTTCAAAGCCTTTTAACTAGTTTCCTGTTACATGTAGGTAGCTCTTTGATGCAAATGTGAACAGTTCCAATGTAATTGTGACCAAACTGTAAAATCTCCCCGTTGATGAACCCCCTGGCGTTTTTGGTCATTGGTTTGGTCGATCAACTAATAGCTGCTTTATGGGGCAAAATCCTGTTTGGGGAGCAGATTTTACCAAAGAGTCCCTGTTGTAAAATTTCTGAAAAATCATAAATTGTTGAAAGTGTTTGATGCAAGAAAAAAAAAATGATCCGGAGAAAACCCAAAGCATTTGGCCGCAAACAAATTGAAATTTAAGGTTGCAAAAAGGTGGACCAGAACTCGCGTTTAGCCGAGCTCTGTTGTATTTTAAACGCTTTAAAAAGTTTGATTTGTGCCTTTTAACCTTACTTTTAACTTTTTTGGCCTTGGCCTTGCAAATAAAAGAATTTCAGTAGCCGTTCCTTTGTAGGGGGTGGGGGGGGAGGGGGGGAGTGGGATGCGTATGCGTCGGATGCGGATGAGATTATCATACCGCCCTCTCCTTCTCCTTTGAAGAATATCTTTCATTCCAGAGGTACAGTTTCTCAATTAAGAAGATATTTTTAGACTTGCAAATTACGTTTTCAGTATTAACAATGCTGGAAGAACTTTCCCAGTTTTTGCCTAGATTTTTCTATTCTTAGCGGACCCAGTGGCCAAATTCCAGCCCCCCACCCCACCCCCCAATACCCAGTGCATAGAAAAAAGGTAAATCTGACTTCAAATTTTACTCCTCAAGGACACTTGTCTCTGGAAGCCTGGCAAACTAAGTATAAGTATCATTGCAGGTTCAAATTGGACTTCGGAAATAGTATGGCAGATAATTCACGACGGTAAAGTTTGTGAGGGTCGACTGGATGAAAGAGTGCCTTTTATCGAAGGAATGATTTTGCCGTTCAAATCTTTTCCTTACACCTTGAACAACGTGGAATCAATAGAGAAGATGTTTAGCACCTTTCCTGCCCCACGAGTGTTTAAAACTCATCTTCAACATGACATGGTTCCCAAGAGCGACAATAAAGCTGTTACGCCACGCTACATTTATGTAATGCGCAATCCCAAAGATGCGTTTGTGTCCTTTTACCATCATTTGCGCAACATGCCTTACTTGAAGGAAATTCCCACGTGGGACGAGGCGTTTGGGCGCCTCATAAAAGGAAATGGTTAGTAACAGAACGTAATAAAGGTTGGAAAATACGCATTTAAAAAAAAATATCACGAATGCTGAAAAGTTGCTTTTATTTCTTTTTGAGTGTTGATTGGCTTGGCACTGCGTTTGCGTTTGTTGAACTCGTTTGATAATTTCATGCCATATCAAATCATATCATGTCAAGTCACGTAACGTCATGTCACGTCACATCATGTCGTGTCATGCCATGTCATGTAACGTTACAGTCGCACCAAGAGACCAATTTCGATATATGAAAATTCAGCCTAAAACAATAGACCTCAGTACGAGGCTCTGGGGAATAACTACAGGGTTTGTGGAGTTTATTCCCCAGAAGTCTTTTGTGTTAGGCTGAATTTTAATAAATCACAATTGGTCTATTGTGATCACGGAAACCAATTGTGACTTGTTACGTTTCTTCTACAGAAAATCATCGCGAAATGTTCCACACATGGCAAGCTCAATCTTTGTTTCTCCAGTTTGTTGACTAAACTATTGTGAGATTTGTGAGATTTTAAAACCTAAGAATAACGGGAACAGAAATATGCATAACATAAATACATGGTTTGTTTGTAGTCCCATTTGGTGGGTGGTTTGATCACGTGCTAAGTTGGTGGAAACACAGAGACGATCCTAACATTTTGTTTCTTACGTACGAAGGCAGGATTAAGGTAAGAAAATAGATGGAGTAGTCATTCTTGTAAAAATTCATTGTCCTAAATGAATGCCGTTAGACCGCTTTCAATATCGATTTCAGCCAATCAAATTCTTGAATTCGGTAGTTCCCAGTCCTTGTGAGACATAGCCATATAATAATTACTATTAATTTTCTTTTGTTGACCGAGTTAAAGATAGATAGATAAATACATCTGAGCTTACTTACAACAGAAATATAAAAACGCACACAACACAAGCTACTCACTACTTTAGACTTACCTATGCTTTTGTGCGGAGTTTACTGACTGGGTCAAAATAGGGGTAAGAGCGGCAGCAATTAAGCAATGGTTGAACTGTACGGCCGAGCAAGAGAGTCAATAAAACTAACTGTTCATTGAACATCCGTACAGGGGGAAAGAGCTGTTTCCGGTCCTCGGTAGAGCGAGCCGTTGATTAAAAGCTTTTCTACCTTGAAGTAAGCTTCTTTCTTTTCGCGTTTGGCTGCTTTGAGAACGGGGTATAACTTTCTTCTTATCCCATCCACTTCTTTTGGAAAGTCGTCGGATATTCCAATGTTGGTGCCTTTGGGAACGTTTTTGATGAACGACTTTATGAAGTTCTTGTCTTGATAAGCGGAGAGTTTGACTATAATTGGACGGGGTCCTGAGTTTCGGCCATCGCGTGTATGCGTGGTAATCCTATGAATTCTGTCGAAGTGTATTTCCTTTACGTCGTTGGGTGGAATTTTCAGCTTCACGTGCCTAAATTCCCATAAAACCGTCTCGGTATTGCTGTTAGATTCGCGTTCTCGCTCCTTCACCCCAAAGAATTTTAAGTTGCCTCTGCGACTATGGCATTCCAGTTTGATATGCCGTCTTTGTAATTCCTTGAGTTCTTTATTTATTCGCTCTTGATCGGCGTTGGTCTTTTGTTGCTGAGACTCTGCGTCATTTGCCTTCGTTTTTAGATCTTCGATTTCTACTTGAGCATATTGCAGGCTTGTTTGTAAGGATTTATTTTCTTCTTTGAGTTAATTGATTCTAGACTTATGATTTTCTAACTGGGAAGGACTCTTAAGAGCAAGTTGAGCTTTTCTCCAATGCTGCTGAGTCTTGAGTTCGTTGCATCGTTGCAATGTCCACATGGTTGCCTGCAGGTGTGAATTCCAGTCGCGTCTTCTTCGTCAGTTTGGGAGCCTCCTTCTCGAGTTCCTTTCCTCCCTTTCTCCTTCGCGTCGTTCCTATTAGCTTGTTCGTTAGGCATTTTATCACATTTAAGATATAACAACCATTACTGTGGCTACCAGGTTAAAAGATTCTAGAAGCTCATTCGTGCCGCCGTAGGACATATTTTTCAAAATTCGTTCAAATCTCGTTTAAACTCTCTAGGATGAGAAAAAAGACACCATTAAATGTTCAAGAGTCTTTATTCGATAAATTACCCATACATTGAACGAATTTAATGTCAACTCCTGATCTCCACGCAAGCTCTTATATTTTAGCCACGGTTCTTCATACAAACTCTTATATTACGCTTGGGTTACCTGTGGTGGAGTGTCGCCAGGTAGGATATTAGTTGTGTTGTTTTGAACAAAATATGCTATTCCTCGTGACATTAAACCCGGAATTCTCAAGTTAACTATAAGAAGAGGCCAAAGCAGCTTTAGCATTGTCTTTATTTTTGTTAGCTGCGAAGAAAATGGCTATTGTCGTGTCGTTTCGGTAGGACAGTTCTTGCCGGAAAAAAATTACTCGATGCCGCCTGAACGAGTGAGTGCTAAAACTGGGATACAAACGGACTCAAATTGCAGTGAAAACAAAACGTTCACCGTCAATTCTCATCTCAAATGGAACTGTTATAATTCCAAAATTTGTTATTTCGAACCTCGCATACTCTGTGGCCTCGATAGACAGCCTACTCGTTCTAGTAAAATCAGAAACTTATGAAAGAAAAAGTTATTTTCTTCCTCGTACGAAACCTCAAAAACAATTTTAAAATTTAAACGGCTCTTTGTGGAGTTGTTGAAAACGGTTCTTTTCAAAGCCATCACACAAACACAAACGTCTTGGTCTTCGTTCTCTTTGATTCTTTTGTCATTGTTTTGTTGATGGGAAACTGGAAATGATATTCATATTGTGGATTTCCACGATACACAGTTAAGCTCATCAACCGATACGTGGCTTTTTCAAAGCAGAATACCTGGATCCTTCATGTCATTTGACATGAAGTCCGTCTTGGCAAGGCATACGTCAGAGAAGTCAGAGAAACTTGCCTACAAGCCTTGAACCTTTTGGAATGTTTTCTCCCAAGTGCTGTTACCCGAATCATGAGGGTTTTGCTTGAAAAATTTCACAATTTCCGAGACTGGGGTAGGGGTCTACATCCCACCAGCCCGAACGCCTGTGGGCGTAACATTTTCCCTTGTTTTGTTTCGTTTTCACAGTTACCCCTAATAAAGACGGTTGATAGCCTCATTAATTTTGCTGATCATTAATATTTCATTTATTCAGGATCCAGCAGATACTGTGGACAAGATAGCCAAGTTCATTGGTAAAGAAATCTATCCAGAAACACGTGACCTCATTGTCCAACAAACTTCATTTGGCGCCATGAAGAGCTCTGAGCACACGAATTACAGTTGGTTTGAAGGAATGAAGGGGGATGGCTTTATTAGAAAGGGACAAGTAGGNTATTTTGAACAACAGTTGCCAAACTTGATAATGAGGCGTAATTAGGCGTGATTGGGCGTAACGTTAAACTTAAATAAAGACAGATTACAGCCTTTTCCCTTGTTTTGTTTGAGGGTTTTTTTTTTCTTTTTTTTTTACTAATTATCCTTAATAAACACGGCTGATGGATGCACTAATTTTTCCTAATTATTTGACATTCCATTTATTTAGAATCCAGCAGATGATGTGGAAAAGATAGCCAGGTTCATTGGTAAAGAAATCTCTCCAGAAACACTTGACCTCATTGTCCAACAAACTTCATTTGGCGCCATGAAGAGCTCTGAGCACACGAATTACAGTTGGTTTGAAGGAATGAAGGGGGATGGCTTTATTAGAAAGGGACAAGTAGGAGAATGGAAAAACTTCTTCACTGAGGAACAGAACGAGTTATTTGATAAAGTGTTCAAAGAAAGAATGGAAGGAACAGGGATTGAATTTGACACTTAAGAAACTAACCATCACTTGAGTAATCAGAAGATGCGATAGCTTTAGCGCTGGACTTAACTGAATGTTGAAACGTTTAGTGTATATTTTAAAGGTTTTGGATGTTTCCGTTATAATTATAATGAGAATAATAACGATGCTGATAATAATAATAATAAATTTATATGGCCACCAGCAACAACAAGTTGAACAAACCATCTAAGGAGACAAACGCATTTATTTCAATTTGTATATTCAAGTGTTCACTTTTTAATGTAGCTTTTTTGAGCGTCTTTTTAGCTTGCAAAATAGGCAGTAAACTGAGTAAGAACTGGGAGTGCAAAAGGGCGACGAAGTTTTGTCGCTCAGTTTTCCGTGCGCTCCACCATGATAAACCGCCAGTTCTGCTGGCTATTGTTTTGCCTCCTTTAGAAGACTTTCTTACTTGTTCATATATATTTTTACAATAACCGTCTAATTTCTCCCGCGCTGTTTAGCTCATTTTATCATCAATAAGAGTACAGACGGATAAAATTTTAATTCATGCAAGCTTTCAAGTTCAACTTTCAGCTGTCGAACTGTCAACTTTTTAACCAATAGGATTTGATTGACTTTATTTAAGTAGCCAATCGAAAAGCGAGAAAAGCTATTGACAAAGTTCGCGTCATTTTTAATAAAATTCACTTATCTTTGTTTACTGCAAGTTTACGGCTTCTTTTCCCTCATTTGTTCCCGGCATTTGACCATTTTGAGGTCTTGTTATTGTAAAAATCAAATTGACGCCATGCCCAGTTTTTTATGCGTCTGTCCTCTTAATTGATGATAAATTGCGTCATGACATTGTCAAAGTTTACTGCAGAACCACTCGCCTGCGACTCGTGGTTCCACAGCCACTTTGACAATGTTATGACGCAATTTATCATCAATAAGAGGACAGACACATAAAAAACTGACGTGAATTTGTTGATTAGATACTTTCAGTATAGTGGCCAGGGTCCCTGCTGATCCTGATACCAGCCTAGCGCTCATTGTGAAAGGGTTACCCTGTTTAACGTTAACCCATTGACTCCCGCAGCTTTTTGCCAAAACGCGTTGTTTGGACATTGTGGACATTTTCAGGCTGGATATGAGCCAAATTAACGGCAATCTACTCAAAAAGGCATTTGCAATATGACAGCATGCCTTTCTCTACATGAGCATCGCGTTTTACTACATTTTTGCTCAGGCATGCGCAGAAATCAATTTTTTTGTTTTTGGACGAGAAAGTGACCTTTAGGCTTTACGGTTTTTTTTCTTTTTTTTTTTTTGCGCCTTTCCTTTCTCCCCTTTTCTTATCTTTTTGTTGCAGGGATTGACCTTCTGCTGCGCTTGCTTCCAGCTCAAAAATTCCTGAGAAGGCATCATCGAGTTGGGCAATATTCTTACCACGGAGCAGCCACGTGTAGTCGAAGGAAATTTTGCTCCGAGTTTTTCACGTAAATATCTGAGCTTTTTCGAGCATATTTCAGGCGCCATTGACACGATCACTCTGATCTGGGTATCATTGGAAAGATCTTTACCTCCTGCAGAACTTGAGTATAGATGATCCCAATTTTGGTCAAACCTGATGACGTCAGAAGTACAACAAAGGCCAAAGTTCGTCAGATTTATACGGCCAGCACCAACAACAACAAGTTGAACAAACCATCTAAGGAGACAAATACCCAAGTTCGTGTCTCGAGAAAAGCGAAAAATAAATAACTCTCGGACACGTACGTATTTATTCATGAAAGCGTCACGCGGGCGTTGTGTGAGTAACAGAATTAAGACAACAAAAAACATCAAATTAAACTCTTCGACTGAGACTGTAAATTTATGCAGCAGGATCAATAAGAAAGTTACGATGAACTTATCTGACTATAAGGTCTATAAGATGTTTCCAATATCATCCTCTTGTACAGAGGCCAAGAATGCAGCACTACATCCATAATAATATAAATGTCTGCCTCTTCTTTCAAGTGACTGTGTTACAACCTCCAGAAAAAAGGAAATGTCAATAAATCGAGTTATTATCCTTTTATTCGACAACGTTCCAGTTATCTGCACTCGAAATTGGTTTTATTTTTGAAATGCTTATGCATATGCTGAATCCGCTTTCTTGACAACCATTCATCCAAATCTGGAAATGATGGCTGAAACTATGTAGAAACGCCCTTTGGTAGGAAAAAAGATGGCGACTGGTACATTTACCCATAGTTCTCAGCGAACGAAAACCTTAACAACGTTCATAAAAATGTACAGAAAAGTTATGAAATCTTCAAACCACCAAGGCTACACAATTTCCTTAGTACAGGGACAAATACTGTAAACATTTGGCTTTTTTTGTGCCTCATAGGCTGTGTTAGGCTCGCAAGGTATTGTGGTAAAATGTACAGCCGCCATCTTTTTTCCTAAGGTGGATTCCCTCTGTGAAACACATCTGCAGTGAATCGTGGTGGTTGTATTCATTAAAACAAATATCAAGTCCAAGATGATGAATACTACTACCATGATTCCCTGCAGGCATGTCTCGTAAAGGGAATTGGTCATTCTCAAAATGTATGCGTGGGGGATAAGTTATCCCAGCAACGGCTAGGGTCATACGCAGTATATGACCTACAGCCATTTGTAAATAAATTCCCCAAATAGTATACATTGTATGCTAGCGACTTCGACACGTTAATAAAGTTCTTATCTTAACTTATCTTATCTTCCTCGCTAGGATCTCACAAAAGTCAATAAATCGTTTCATTCACAGCTGAAGACATCTGTTAATATTATTATCTTAGTCAATATTCTCACGATCCACGTCTTGGGGTCATCAGAGTGATAATCGTTTATCTTGACCAGCGGTTGTGAAGCATGAATCACATTTCCAGACATCTTGATGTCCAGTGCTGTTAAACGAAATCCCCCTGAACAAAGTCTGTTATTCGCCAAAACAGTCGTTTTTTTATCAGGAACTGCAAGTAGTTTCATACGTCCGGTGACAAATACAGAGCTATTAGGACTACAATGAAAAACAACTTTTCGTTGAAGCGCAGGATTAAATTGTTACTAAACAAGACCCGGCTGAGGAATTCTGTCTGCCAACTCATCTTAATGTGATTGCTCGGTCATTAATTAAATTATCATGATATGGAGAGCTTTTCAAAATGATGAAGAGATCATTTGAGTTTTCAATGGAATATTTAATCGAATTTAAACAATTTTACACCGATTCTTTCAGATCCTGCGTAGATCAGAGATTTAATAAAATAGCAGTTTTTTCATCTTCACAAGACCTTCTTCTCGGCCGAAACGAAGAACGATTGACAGAAAATAAAGATTTACACTAATAGCCTGGTGTATTCCCGTTCCAAGAGCCCGTCGAGTCTTTTAGGTGGAAAAAAAAAACCGACAACCTGGTGAGACTTTTCGTGACACTCTATACGGTATAAACTATAACCAGCAATAAATAGGAAAATAGTTCTAATTTTGGCAAGAAATCGCATCACTTAGCAAGGGACTAACTCTTTAGAGAGTAGCGGTTAACTATGTACGTACCATTCAGTCAAGTCAAGTCAAGTCAAGTCAAGTCATCTTTATTTAGTCATGTTGGGTAGACCCATCAGCCATAGGCTGGTATGAAAAGGGGCCCTGCGTAAATTTAAGACTTCATGATAAAAAAATTCAAAATTTAAAAATTACGCCAAAGTTACGTGTATGTACAAGGAGTTTAAAAATTGAATAAAAAGGGAAATTAAGCTCGTGCAAGAACGCCATTATCACCACAAAAAGGCTTTAATTACAAACAAAGGACTACATTGGAGTAATTATAAGCGGTTACGCAATACTATCAACACAAGAATGCGTAAAGAGAAAAGTGATCACTATTCTAATCAGCTGGCGGATGAACAAGACCTAAAGGTGATCTGGCAAACATATAAAATCGTTCCGAAAAAAATTAAATCAGTGCCCTCAAGCGGTGATGGTCTAACAGCCTCAAGTTTCAACTGCTTCTTTACCTCGTTTGCTAGTACCTTGTGCAGCCATTTTAAACGTTGTTCTCTACAAAAGGTTTTAATACCTAGAGTTAAACATGACTTTGTCCTCGAAGAGATGTCCTCCAGTTTTGTACAAAAAGAATTGCTCAAAATGAAGTCAACTAAAGCCACTGGTCTCGATGGAATTCCTGCTCGGTAGTCGGGCTCTGTAGTTTTAATGTGTTAAGAAGTCTTGATTCTTTTTGGGGCTATACTAAAGTACAGCAAAAACTCTACGCAAAAAGCATAAATAAAAGAACAAAAAAAAAACAAACATCAACCAAAAAACGAACGATATTGTGCAATGGACAAGTAACGAAATGAGAAACACAAAAGAAACGGTACTGAAGCCTGATCTTGAGTACTTCTTTTGGCTCGGGGTTTTTTTTTTTTCTCAGTTTCGATCACGTTCAATGATTTGGGGCCCGTGACAGGCCATTCAGCTACAAAGTTTGAAAGCGAACATCCGAATGAGGTGATCGCGCTGACAAAGGCAACGATATCACCACGAACAATCGTTGTAAGAACACTGAATACTTCAGGTTCAAATGGCAAAAAAACTGAAAACATGGAACGTTCTGCCTCAGACAGAAAACTCAGTACTAGACGTTCTTATGAAAGAGTATATCAACAAAAGCAAACAAGTTACATTAATGTGTGCTGCTGCTGCTGTTCACATCATCATGATCTAGAACGTTATTAACTGAAGTTCAGTTCGAACGGCATTGTTAAACACGGAGCGAGCCTATAAAAGGCAAGGACACGCCACCTTTGAAGCACTTTGTGGGCTTTTTTGTCTAAGGGTGGAAAGCCGAAGTAACGGTCGCACAACTGTAGAAGTCTTGAAGAAATCGCGTTGTTTTCGTTAAAACAATGGAGTCGTTTACATAGAATAATATAAGGTAAATAATAAAAATACAATGAAAATAAAACTTCATTTTACACTTTGGAAGATGCGGCTTTGGAAGAACGAAAACGATGAATTCTCTTCATCACTTCACAGAACTTTCAAATTACGCCGCTAACTAAAATGACAAACTGAAGCTGATGCCTGCCATCAACGAGCTATCTGTTTCCGCGTATCTGAACATGCCGAGAACGAAAACAAGTCTCATAAGAGGTGACTTTGGTTAGCCTGTGAACACAGATGAATTTTGGTGGGATATTAAAAATTATTCAGATTTACGAGGGTTTCATTTTAAACGGGGCAAAAGCATTTCCTAAGCGGCGTTGATATTTCAATTTTTAGTTACTTAGCTGTTTTATTCAATTCCTCAAGGCTTCAGTAACATATCTAGAGATTCCCTTTTCCACTACTATCAGCAAACATAAGAAGCAGTATTCGGTGAAATGTTAGACGTATAATCAACAAAGAGGATTAGAGAACTAGCCTCAATTTTTCTGTTGGTGACTTAGTTCCTTGCCAGAAGCTAACAAGTCTTCCGGTCTAAAAGGAAAATGATATGTAGGTCTCAGACCTCAAAGATTCGAATTATTTAGAATTAAAAATGGTACTTTAGGATTAGAAGGGTTAAGACATTAAAAGATATTACGCATATAAATATAGCACGTGGATGTCTCAGAAGAATATTGAAGGTCCAAGGTGGGGTGGGG